GCTCGCGGTGTTGGCCGTATCAATGGGAGACCGATGAGTGCGGGCACGACGGGTCTGGAGACCAAAGACGAACCTCAGGAGGTACTCAATGCTTGTCGGAGGGACATCATGACATTGTGGCATGACCCTATGGTGAGAGATCTGTTGAGAAGGCGGAAGATAAGGTTGGAAGAGTTTCCTGGATTGTGAGTTGACATACTAGCCTGCGCTTCGCTTAACTAACTGCAGCACAGTTTCTTAAATGACTTGGAGCGAGTTACCTCTCTCAAGTACATGCCAAGCGATGGCGAGTCTTTTGTATCAACTAACCAATTGTATAGCTCATGTTGTTATCAGATGATGTTCTGAAAGCTCGCTTGAAGACAATAGGGGTCTCGGAATACCGCTTCCAGATGGAAGCCGCAGCAGGGCGGCAGAGTGGCACCGAATGGCGCATTGTGGATGTCGGCGGATCAAGATCTCAGGCGAGTTACTATCTATGTATAATCTTGGACTTTCACTGATAAGAGTATTTGTAGCGAGGTCAGTCGATAATGATATCCAATCAGAATCATGGCCGTATTGACGTGTATCCTTCTAGCAACATGGGTACCGTTCTTTGATGACGGTCAGTACTTATTCTGCCACTTGTGTTTATTTCTTACCCTATGATCATATGTCTACAGTCGATGCCATCATTTTCATGGCACCCATTTCTGGGTTCGACCAAGTCCTCGCGGAAGATCGCAGCGTCAACAGATTGGAGGATAGTGTTCTCTTGTGGAAGTCGGTTTGTTCGAACAAGCTCCTCGAGAATGTGGATCTCGTGCTCTTCCTCAACAAGTGCGATATCCTGGAAAAGAAGTTGCAAGCAGGCGTGCGACTGGCGAAGTATGTGAGGAGCTATGGGGATCGACCAAACGATCTAGAAAATGCATCCAAATGTTGGTTTTTTCTTCTTCTTGCGCCTAACCTTCTGTATGGATAAGACTGACCGTGCTCTACAGATTTCCGCAGTAAGTTCAGCGCGATACACAGGGAATATTCACCAACACCAAGAAAATTCTATGGCTGGTGTACATCTGTCACGGTATGCTGAGCGCATCCCTTGATATCAACCATGCTGATCGTCCCCATAGGATACGACCTCGACAGCTGGCATTCTAGCTAGCGGTATGTTCACATCCCTCTTCCTTGTCACACTTGGCTAATGCTGTACGCAGTGAGAGACATGGTCATCCGACAGAACTTGAAGCAGTCGAAGCTGCTCTAGCCCTGCGCAACCTCTCCCCTAATGACCCAGTTGCAGCTTTCCTGTTTTCCGCACATACGACACCCAGACACGAACGAAGCCATGACAATACCCCCCTTGTCGACTATTACCCGCATTGTACAAACCATCCACGTCAAGTGGTGCCTCCGCCATCATCCAAGTTTCGCGCCCACGACGTTCATATTTCGCACATTGTACACAATCGGATACTACGCTCAACCAACTTGACGACTGCAGCACATCTAAGCATATTTAACCATTACGTAGCTACATCCTCTGTATCGCATGCTCTCCTTCTACATTTATTCATAGCCATCTAGAGACATTTCTCAATCGCCTGCCCGCCTCCAACTCAAGCTACACTATACGGTACCCAGGGCAAGGGTAAGTATCTTGCGATTTCAATTAGTGATTGAAGGAATGACTTGAAAATGCCCTATTGGGCAATGCATTAAATCGAATCGAGCGCAGACATATAGATGTAAGGTAGAGCGCAGGGGAAACAAGGAAACCTGAGGTAAAGAAGGTCGTGAAGGTCATCTCGTCACAAAATCAGGAAGTCCCAGTATTTGAGTATATTACATCTACCGTCGTGTCATGTACAAGCGAATGGACATTGAGGTTCTGGCTATATGTGGAGTCCCGTGGCGGATGCAATGGTTATGATTCGGAGGGGGTGACATCCCCGGAATGTGATTCCAAACAGAAGGGCGAAGGCTCCGCGAGCTCCTCGGCGATGGCCTTGTGACCTTCCTCAGTGAGCGTAGGCACGCCGGACGATATATCCTTCTCGAAGTACAAAGGCGTGAATCTGCAGTGTCAGATCATAGTATCAGTGTTCAATATAATTCATGAAGGAGAAATAAGACACGTACTCAGCGCCGGTGCGTTTCCGCTCGGCCGCCTGGTCACGCTGGCGCTGCTCGATGCTGAGCTTCGCCTTCGTCGCTTCACCAAACTCTTTCTTCACGAGCCGGTCGGTGACGTCGCTCCACAACTTCCGGCTCTCGTACGGGAGCTGCTTATCTAGTGCGCGCACGGTCTTCGGAATGGGATACACCGTCGAGAGGTCCAGTAGTGTCGTGTACTCCGTCGGCTCGAAAATGCTTGAATTCGACGACTTACCCGACTTCACGGACGACTGTGACGTCGCGTTGGGCGCAGAGTAGGATGGGGTGGCGGCGACCTTACGCCAGCGGATCTTGTTGCGCCA